TAAAATTTTTTTTTTTTTTTCCAAGGTAGTGCAATTTGTAAGTTTATTAATTATATGTAAGAATACAAAAGCATCTATTATATAACTAATTTATTAAAACAAACCAGTTCCCTATTCATAAGATTGCTCCTGTGCCTTACTATCATCTTATAAAATTCACCCATATTCTTTGATAGTAGCTATTGAATTATATAGGATCACTATGTTATAAGACTTAAGTATAGTATGCTTTCACTACCCTTTAGATAAAAAAAAAAGGTTATGTTATATTTGTATATTTTTGTATTATTATATACCTTTCAAAATACCCTGTTTCCCTCTCTAATAAATTGGTTTATATATTATTTTGTTTTTTTTAATACTATTGACTATTGTTCATTATGTTTCAAAATTTTTCTTTTTTTCAAATCAAATATATCTTTCTCTGTCTGTATAGTTAAAATCCGTTTATATACAATGTGTTGATATGCTAATGTAAATATAATTTTAATTATTAAAATTGAATAGTTATTAAAATACTTTTACTATTATATATTAACAACTTTTAAAAATTAGTTAAATTATAAAATTTTAAATATTTAAAATTTTATTTTATTATAATATTTAATTTGCAATTAAAATTGTATTTATACAAAAAAATTAGCAATTATTTATATAAATTTTGTAAGTTTAATATTGATTGATTTTTGCCAAAATTGCAATTTGCAAATTTAGATTTATCATAAAATTTATTAAGAAATTTGCTTTTTATTTATTAAGTAAACTGATTTCTCATAAAAAATCAATATATATTTATATATTTAAAAAGATTATAACTAATTTTCACTCAAGATGAAATCGTTAGGATGAAATCGCTTATTAATTTTTATTATTTTATAATAATAATAAATTTATTTAATATAAGTGATATTACCTGTTTATTTTTTTGTTTATTAGTTAATGTTCTTTAACATCTTTCAACATTTTTTGACAACTTTTAACATTTTTAATGTCTTTCAACAACACTCTTTAACACTTTTTCTTTGTTCTTAGACTTTTGAAGGTAAGTTTTTTTTTTATAATATTTAATATTTGTTTACTTTTTTATTTACTATTATTCTTTACTTATCCATTTTCTTTTTATAGATTTTTCAACTTCAGTATCTTAGTAAATGTAGTAAATGGTAAGTTTCAAGTTTTTTAAAATTTCAGAAGTCTAGTTTCTTTACAATAACTAATCAGTTTCATTTTTCATTTGGATTTCTTCTATTTTAGCTGAATTTTTCCTTGAAT